GTTGAAGCAGAGCAGGTTGTGCAATCCCTTCTGGTTTGAGCCGGAAGATGTCCTGATCGGTTCAACCAGCGACATCTCCTGTGTATTCGTTCAGCTTCCCAATGATAGACAGTCTATTCATGCTGCATTTTGCAGCTTGGTTATAATGTATATACATGAACATGTTGTTTACATATCTCTCCTGTAGGCACAGGCATTAGGCATGAACTTCTGTTGCACATCATGCAGGGATGAGATTTTTCCGCGTTCTGGCGGAATTCCGCTTTTTTTCCAGTCAAAATGGACCAATTTATATTGTTCCAAATCCGTAAAAAAAATTCGGGGAGGGGGGTGGGTCCGGACTTGTCTTCGGCAGATTCGGGGCTCGTAATGTTTCCAAGTAATGTTTGCAAGCATCCATTTTGAATCCCGCTTTTTATCGCGAAGCGTTAGTTTGTTGTTACTTCCTATATGGGCTAAAAGCAATGTTTTACTTGTTGTAATTGGTCACTATTTCGGCAAATGCAAATCACAACCAATCCGTGTTCGCCTTCCTAAACACCTTTCTCGCGAATGCCAAATGTTAGCGACGAAGCTAAAGTGCGTCAGATAGATGCGCATCTGAAAAACACGTTTCGATGGGACTGGTTGGATAGAAAGCTGACGGTGTCCCCAGTAGGAAACAGTCAAGAGGAACCATTGTGCTTGTGTCGGATTTCGTGAAAAAGCTCGATGTCGCCAGTAAAGCTCTGTGTATATTGAGTGACGGTGTCAATCTATCCGTATCGAGAGGATGGAAAGCTTTACAGAGTCACGCAACCTCGGTGAAACACCGAAAACAGACATTTCTACTGAAAAGTAACTACTCGATCTCAAGCGCTTTTCGACAGCCTGGAGCATGTGTAAAAACAAGAGGAGTTGGCTAAAAAGAGAGTCTAAAAAGACAGAGAGGACCAATAAGCTTTTAGCGCTTGCTAAAAAGCTGAAAATGAAGAGAAAATAAAGTATTCTACCTCATGAAACTGTATATTGTTACCTCATGAAACTTTATATTGTTGTATATACTGTAAACAGACATCCACTTTGTATAATAAAATACATTCATAACACATATATAGTAAACAGTGTGGGACTTCACTCTCACTGTATGAGGTAAGAATCAACAGCTGTTTATCACATTAACACAACACTTTATGAATACAAGTAATGAACCAATCTTAAATATGGCAGGGAATGTGTTTCCTTTTTTCGTTTAGATTTTAAGCAGCAAATCTGAAGTAACATATTGGTGCTCACCAGGAATGCATGAGCAAAATTGCACAAATTTTCACTTGAAAGAATCGTGAACAATCTTGGAATTTTTTTCTATTAAAGTTTCAAATCGTGTGTAAATTAATTACACTTAATCTTCAAGCATGTTTAGTGCCACTTTTGTAAAAGGCCCCGCCCCCGTCCAGGCCACGCCCCCATCCCAGCCACGCCCCGTCCGCTTTTTTCTTCACTCGCCACTCTCATCCCTGATTTGATGAACACCACGGGCCGAGTAAAAACCGAGGGCGGAGGAGGACGGAGGCGGCGGCGCGCCCCGGCCGCCCGAGTCCGGAGCGGGTAAAAATCTAAATCGGTGGCGGCGGCGGCGGCCGCGGAGCGACGGGTTCAATGTCTTCTTGTTTTATGTTTTATGGTCATTTTGTTTAAATTTTTGATGGGGAAAAAAAAAACTTTGTCCGACCTACCGACCTATGCTGAAATTTCATGTTACCGGAAACACACTATCTTTTTTGTTTGGCCTTATCAGAGTGAAATCTATAGTCCAGGATTCTTAGAGCTGGCGCTCACTGTGCTCTCCTTAATTTACCCTGTTCCCCTCTAGCGTTCGAATTAGGAATTTGTCACAGGACTTTAAACCAAATTAACCTTTTGTAATTAATTCATCGCTTGACGAGGCGCGTTACATCGACAGTATCAAAGGTATATGTTTGAAAACTATGCATTAACAATGAGCATAACATCAGCAGCTGCGTCCTCCAGGTTTATTAAAAAAAAAAATTGGATCAAAATAGGGGTGCACTCATATGGCGTCATGAATACAGCATCACACAAAATCAGAGTATTTTATGGCATCATGAATACAGCATCACACAAAATATTTTTTTTGTATTTTTTCCAATCTCTCACTGCAAAGATTAATTTACTGGTCATCATTAAGACAGTTAAGTATTGATGTGGCTTGACATCCTCTTCCCAAGACGATGCATGTGTAATCTACTATCAATTTGACGGAAGAATCTACCACACGTCATCATTAGTTCTACCACAAGTTAACATTAGCATTACTACACCTTGTGATGAATGTTTTATTCCTAAAGTTACCATGCTACAACCAGTAAATTATAGAATAACCAATACTGTTTCATCATATTTTTCATAGCGATTAGCCTATAGATCTAATGACCAACTGGCCTCGTAATCGTGCCTCACTTCGAATCTCGCTCTCGTGCATACATCACAGGTGAGTTTAGTGATACGCCCTTCGGACGATTAAAACAAAAAATCATACTCACATTCCCATTTCTTAAATGTCGTAATTAGTAGACCTTTGTGAGTTTACACCACACCACAAACACACATACAGGCACAGTGAAATCACGTTGATCACACAGGAGAGATTCGATCGCGTACAGTCAACTCGTGTGCGGTGACTTTTATGGGAAACGATTTTTCGGTACCATCAAAATGACGCCACGGAAATGACACGCAACCGGTAACGATCGGAACCGTGAAATCCTCAGCCCTGCCGTAGCATTTTTTTTTTGTTTTGACTGAGAAATTCCCTTGCGCCCCAAAAACGCACATAATTTGGAACTGTGCGTCCCGCAGGGAAATTATGCGTCTAGGACGCAGAGGTAACGAGATGGCTGAGACTTGAAAATTGTGTCATAGAACTACAGTAAATATTCCCATCTCCGGAATTCTATGAAAATGAATTTCCTTCACCCGGAATAAAAAACAATGCATTAAAATTTTGATTTCGATATTACATTTTACCGGAACTTACTGATGCGGAAGTTCCACTATCCGTAACCTGGATGGAGACGGAAGGCCACAGGAGCTCAAATACATGCAGCGCCCACCCGATGCAACGGAAAACACGTGTTCACTTTGCCGTTTTCCATCATCAGATTCGAAACGACGACGTGTAAGTGACTTTTTATTGGCGCGCGTTTTACTGTAATTGCGAACGATTTTAACTTTATTTACTTACGTCCTGTAGATTGCGACACTGGCTTATAAAGCAGCGCCCACTCAACACACTGGGAGACACGACGGAAGAAACGTGTTCGCTTCGCCTTTTTCTATCATCGGATCCAAAAAGTGACTTTTTCTTGCCGTGAATTTTACTGTAATTGCGCAAGATTTTAATTTCAATCACTTACGTCCTGTAGATCAGGGACCCTCAACCGCCAGTCCGGGGACTGGTACCGGTCCTCAGGGCATTTGGTACCGGGCCGCACAGAAAGAACTTGCCTGAATTCCGTTTTACTGTATTTATGTTGGAATACGAAAGATGTTTTATTTTGAAAAATTACCGGATTCTCCGTTACATCCGTCTGTGTCACGTTTGACTCACGTCAAGCCACGCCTCTCCGTCACATGACCGATAACGCTAAAAACAAAACGCTGCAGCTTGCAAAATGAGTAAAAAAAAAAAACTGCTGGAGATCGCAAATGACAGCGGCCTTAAAAGTACGTTCGAGACAACTGGTTTCAAACTATGGCTGAATTCTCTGAGATCGCCACAACAGCACTGTTGCTATTTCCGACATCCTACCTGTGTGAGGTGGGGAGTTTCTGCAGCTACGGCGACTAAAACTAAATTATGAAGTAGACTGGACATAAACCACACTTGAGGTATCATTGTCTCCTATTACCCCGAGATGGGACCGTCTGGTTGCAGAAAATCAAGCTCGGGGCTGTGGTGAGTCGTCATTTTCATGCACTTTGAATTTGCATTGTATCGTATTTTGAAGACATTAAACATTGTCATAGCGATTGGAGTGTTGCGGCTAGATTAGACGCTCCTCGTGTTTATTATTATCTCTCAAAAACACCACAGTGTCCATGCAGCTCTTACCATATTTTTTTGTAGTATTGATCCGCCACACCTTAAATGCCGGTCCATGAAAATATTGTCTGACATAAACCGGTCCGTGGGGCAAAAAAGGTTGGGGACCCCTGCTGTAGATCATGTCATCAAAACGAAGAACAACAACCCAAAAAAACAAAACAAAACAACCCAAGACGGAAAAAAATCAACATTAAAATACTGTACGTACTGTACTGTGTTGTGAATTTTTTAATACTCTACACCTGTACTGTATACAGTACTGCAGTTTTTGTTATATAAACAGTTTTGGACAGTATATTTTTGCATTTTATTGCTTATGTTGTAACTCGTGCATTTTGTCAACATACTTGCAGGTTCATAAAAGACATGTACCATGCTCATTTGTCCCTGTTCCAAGGACAGATTGGACAGCGCAAACATGAGTCTGTACTTGAGAATATTTACTGGATTCTTTGAAGCCTTTGTATTCATCTTTGAAGCTTTGATTTTAGTGGGTAGCGCACTATCAAACCCAAGAATACAGTTGGACTAATAATTTCTTAAAGGGTCTTAAAATTACAGCATGAAGTCACTAAATATGAATTAAGTACGAAAACAGAGTGCCTCATATCATGAATATTCGAAGCCAGGACCGTTTTTGACTTTTCCACCAATCAAAAATGTGCAATGTCAGACTCTGTATGAGTCCAAAAATAACCATGGATAAAACAAAAATAATTCATTTTAAAAAATCACCACTAGGGATAAAAATAAAAATCCACCACAAGTAAATGATTCTGCGAATGTCACTTAGCAAGTAGTAATTTGAACTCATCTGGCTCTCCTTGTAACCTTCATTGTAATTATCAACCATAATTCCATGTGTGTTTGTTTACCTTCTCGTGTCTTTCAGACATCAGCGAAGATGCTTGTCCTGAGCGGTTGGATGCAGAGACTTCTCACATTCAAGAGGAAGAGGAGAACAACGAGGTACCCCACTTGAAAGAGGAAGAAGAGCAGCAGGCCCCTTACATTCAGAAAGAGGAGGGGCTAGAGTACCCTTGCACGAAAGTGAAGGTGGATGAGCCTCCCGACGTCAAAGAAGAGGAGGAGGAGAAGGGGATCTGCAAGTTGCAATCGACTGGTGTCGCTCTGAAGAGTATAAATGAAGCGGACAGAGATGCGGAGCCTCCAAGCAGCAGCTCATGTCAACACATGACAACACAAGGTGTTGGAAACCACTGTGGACAACCAAAAGCAGATAGCCTCTTAGCTCCACTCTCAGATAGAGACAACACATCGTCAACCGCTGATGATAATGGTGAGAAACCGTTCACCTGTTCCGACTGCGGCCGGAAATTCTCTCGGAAGGGACACTTAAAAAGGCACGTAAGGACCCACACTGGTGAGAAACCTTTTTTGTGCTCAGTTTGTGGCCAAAGATTCTCTCATAGGGGAACCTTCAAATTACACACAAGAACCCACACTGGCGAGAAACCTTTTGCCTGTTCAGATTGTGGCCAAAAATTCTCTCAGAAGGGAAACTTACAAATGCACATAAGAACCCACACTGGTGAGAAACCTTTTTCGTGCTCAGTTTGTGGCCAAAGATTCTCTCAGAAGGGAAACTTACAAACGCACAAAATAACCCACTCTGCTGAGAAACCTTTTGTTAGGTTGATTGTTTTTAGTTATGATACATTTGCATAGGATTAATGATAAATTGATTATGCTGGCAATGAAGAACGCTTATGCTTTTAATAAAGATATAATGCTTTTAATTCATACAGACTCACATTGCTTAATGCATAGTGCATTGTGCGGCAGTTGAGGGACACATGATAAGTATTAAGACTAAACAGGAGCAAGGTGGACGACGCTTTCAACGCCAGCTGCAACTTGATGTTTTTGTAACAATTGCGCACATGTATGTAATTTACACTCAGATACACACATATAGTCAAACAAGTTCAGTGTGTCTTCAACTGCCCCCACCCTTTAGGTTGGACACACCTATGTAGTAGATTCCCAATAAATGAGGGGGTGAGTGGGGAGATCCTTGGGTGACGTGCAGAGAACTGAAACCGAACGCTTCTCCTCGTTCCCCCCTGGTACCAGAATTGAGTCTCCTGTCTCCTCCTTGTGTTTTATTTCTATATGTCAAATTGATGGACCTGACATTTTTGGGGGCTCGTCCGGGATTGCAATATACCTGATGCCTCCAGAAGATGAGTGGACGGCCAGGAAGACATTGGCCACGGCTGAAACACCCTTTTCGGGACTGGGTTTCGGCTCCTTGTCTGGGGGCTGAGGGTTGACGCGAAGCCGGAGGAGAGAGGGGACTGCTCTTGGTAGGTGAGGAACTCTTCAAAGGGTGAATGCAAGTTCACTTTTTGTGCACAAACCAAAAAGTGTTTGCGCGCCGGGTCATACTGAGTGGTCTTTAAAGCTGCTTCAAGCCCTGAGCCATACTAGTCCCTATCAGGTAGATCGACAGTCGAGTCTTTAAAACTGTTGAGGGCAGCGGTGTCCTGTCGGTACTTAAACTCCGCATTTATGTAGAACAATATCAATGTTAAATATACTCAAATAAAACATGCTTTAACAATGACTGTGTAATTGTGTGAGTGGAGGTTCGCTACCTCATCCGAACAGGTAATTTTGTGTGGCAACCGTCTGAGATCCAAGAACTACCCGCCACGTTGGTGGTGGTAGACGGTTGGAAATTACCTCAATCGGAGAGATTGTCACCCTGTTCAGGGGAGAAGTCAGCATTGTTACCTTAGGTCAGGGGTCGGCAACATGCGGCTCCAGAGCCGCATGCGGCTCTTTAGCGCCATCTAGTAGCTCCCTGGATCTCTATAAAAAAATTTTGAAAATTATGTGGGAGGGAAAATAATTTTTTTGTTTTAAATATGGTTTCTGGTGGAGTAGAAATACGACACAAACATTCCTAACGTTTCCCAATGCTGTAAATATGTGTCGAGTAAATATTACATTTCAACATTTCTGTCAACGAAGATTTGCGTCACAGCCTGCGACGCTCATTTCTATCACCAAGGCGGGATATTAGGCAGGGGGCTGGTGCAAACAACAACAACAAAAATTTAAAAAATGGCGATTCATGTACAATTCACCGAGTGTACTGGCAAAGAGGATCTGGAGGACTGTGAAAAGCATGAAAAAGTGCATCCCCTGCATCCGCGTCGGATCTTGATGACGGTAGGTAGGCATAAGTCTGTGTGTTGTGTATGCGCAGGTCGATCGCGGTTAAATTTGTTGAACGAAAAGTAGATCTTCGGTCACAAAAGGTTGGGCACCCCTGCTCTACAGCAGTGTTTTTCAACCGGTGTGCCGCGGCACACTGGCGCGAGACATTGTCAGGTGTGCCGCGGGAAAATATCCAATTTTTATGCCTGTGTGGTCTTTCGCCCAGAAAGTAATCATGTAGTACCCTCCCATACCGCTAGGGAGCAGCAACAGCTAGCCAATTGCCTTGTGTTACGACGAGAGACACGCGGATTTGTGACGCATGAATGCAGGACGACGGTGAAACAATAAATATGAAAGATGATAAAATACTGTTTTCTTTGTGTTCATTAGATTCCAATTCAAGCTGTTATAACGTCATTCTTCAATGTTAAAAACGGTTATAGTAACAATATAACACGTTAGTTGGTACATACATGGCAATTTTCCGCGGATCCGCGGAAATCCGGCTTTTTTATTTCTTAAATTGATCATTTTTGTGAATCGTCTAAATCCGTTGAGAAAAATTTAGGGGCGGTCAGATACCTTATCGTCGAGTTTTCACGAGCGATTAATGATAAATTGATTATGCTGGCAATGAAGAACGCTTATGCTTTTAATAAAGATATAATGCTTTTAATTCATACAGACTCACATTGCTTAATGCATAGTGCATTGTGCGGCAGTTGAGGGACACATGATAAGTATTAAGACTAAACAGGAGCAAGGTGGACGACGCTTTCAACGCCAGCTGCAACTTGATGTTTTTGTAACAATTGCGCACATGTATGTAATTTACACTCAGATACACACATATAGTCAAACAAGTTCAGTGTGTCATCAACTGCCCCCACCCTTTAGGTTGGACACACCTATGTAGTAGATTCCCAATAAATGAGGGGGTGAGTGGGGAGATCCTTGGGTGACGTGCAGAGAACTGAAACCGAACGCTTCTCCTCGTTCCCCCCTGGTACCAGAATTGAGTCTCCTGTCTCCTCCTTGTGTTTTATTTCTATATGTCAAATTGATGGACCTGACATTTTTGGGGGCTCGTCCGGGATTGCAATATACCTGATGCCTCCAGAAGATGAGTGGACGGCCAGGAAGACATTGGCCACGGCTGAAACACCCTTTTCGGGACTGGGTTTCGGCTCCTTGTCTGGGGGCTGAGGGTTGACGCGAAGCCGGAGGAGAGAGGGGACTGCTCTTGGTAGGTGAGGAACTCTTCAAAGGGTGAATGCAAGTTCACTTTTTGTGCACAAACCAAAAAGTGTTTGCGCGCCGGGTCATACTGAGTGGTCTTTAAAGCTGCTTCAAGCCCTGAGCCATACTAGTCCCTATCAGGTAGATAGACAGTCGAGTCTTTAAAACTGTTGAGGGCGGCGGTGTCCTGTACGAACTTAAACTCCGCATTTATGTAGAACAATATCAATGTTAAATATACTCAAATAAAACATGCTTTAACAATGACTGTGTAATTGTGTGAGTGGAGGTTCGCTACCTCATCCGAACAGGTAATTTTGTGTGGCAACCGTCTGAGATCCAAGAACTACCCGCCACATTGGTGGTGGTAGACGTTTGGAAATTACCTCAATCGGAGAGATTGTCACCCTGTTCAGGGGAGAAGTCAGCATTGTTACCTTAGGTCAGGGGTCGGCAACATGCGGCTCCAGAGCCGCATGCGGCTCTTTAGCGCCATCTAGTAGCTCCCTGGATCTCTATAAAAAATTTTTGAAAATGTAAAACGGTGTGGGAGGGAAAATAATTTTTTTGTTTTAAATGTGGTTTCTGGTGGAGTAAAAACACGACACAAACATTCCTAACGTTTCCCAATGCTGTAAATATGTGTCGAATAAATATTACATTTCAACATTTCTGTCAACGAAGATTTGCGTCACAGCCTGCGATGCTCATTTCTATCACCAAGGCGGGATATTAGGCAGGGGGCTGTTGCAAACAACAACAAAAATTTAAAAAAATGGCGATTCATGTACAATTCACCGAGTGTACTGGCAAAGAGGATCTGGAGGACTGTGAAAAGCATGAAAAAGTGCATCCCATGCCTCCGCGTCAGATCTTGATGACGATAGGTAGGCATAAGTCTGTGTGTTGTGTATGCGCAGGTCGATCGCGGTTAAATTTGTTGAACGAAAAGTAGATCTTCGGTCACAAAAGGTTGGGCACCCCTGCTCTACAGCAGTGTTTTTCAACCGGTGTGCCGCGGCACACTGGCGCGAGACATTGTCAGGTGTGCCGCGGGAAAATATCCAATTTTTATGCCTGTGTGGTCTTTCGCCCAGAAAGTAATCATGTAGTACCCTCCCATACCGCTAGGGAGCAGCAACAGCTAGCCAATTGCCTTGTGTTACGACGAGAGACACGCGAATTTGTGACGCATGAATGCAGGACGACGGTGAAACAATAAA